ATTATGGTGTAACTTGTGCAATCATTTTAGGTGGCGCGATATGTGGCAAAGCAACTGAAAATGACATATTTAACCAGCAAATCGTGATCGTTGTGGAGCCCGTTATTGCGCAACTTATCCAGGTTGATACAAGACACCAACAACTTCTTGTTTGAAGTAAATTAATTTATATTTTACAAGTGACAGAATTTTTAGGATTGCCGCACGATTCCAAAAAAGTCGGACAAAATAATTTTCAAAATGGTGGGCTGAGGTGATTCAACGACTGTTTCGTAAACGAACAAATTCATACACAAACTGGCTAAAAAAAATAGCCAATAGGACGCCGGACTCACGTTATATATGTACGTGTGTACTTAAATAAAGTGTTTGCAATTATTGGTATATAAATAAATCAGATGACCTATTTGTTTTGAAGGAAAACATAGATTTAAGAGAAAATACCGTGTTTTGGTTTATAAAATACGGTGTCTCTAAAAGGTTCAATGATTAAACTTTGTGCATTAGTACATTGGTCATTATGCCATTTGGTAAAGAATATGGGAAATCCCTGTGCACTTTGACTTCGAATTTTACAAAAAGTAATTTATCAAAGAGCTGATGACATTAAAAGGTCAGAGGTTGCCCAGTAACGGCAGACCAAAAAAAGTAGCCAATAGGAAACCAGACGAAAAAGGTCAACACTGATATTAACACCTTCGCGCGTCACTATTGTTAGCATTATGGAAAAACTCACGTAAGCGTATTTGCCACATGTGGACTACTGTGCGACACAAATTACAAGATCTCCAAGAAACCGAGAGCTTTCTTGCTTTTTTTCTTATAATATCAATAGGATTAGGACGCAATTAGTAAGGATTTTGCAAGGTATAGTTGGATGTTTTAAAAATAAAAACATAATCTGTACAAACGACATTGAACTGTGTATTGCAGAATTTGGAAAGCCATCATGCGGTGTTGACCAGCAATAGGTCGACCCCTTTCTGTGGGTTCTAGTAAGCAACTCAAAATGAAAATTAAAAAACAACTTACATGTGCAAGTTATTTTAAAACTTAAAGATAATTTCACACAAAATGATATGAAAATCACTGTGCGTGTGAAACACAAGCTGCAAAACGTCTGCATGCCCAAATCCCAGCAGCTGCCCTAAATGGAACCCTACCCCCGCCACCCTGCAACCAGCCCCGACGCCACCCAACTTTGTATTCCATATTACTTTATGGCAAATTACCGTTGAATTTACATAAAATTCGTGTTCGAATTACGGTCACAGTCATTTTAGGAACCCTTTTCCTGACCGTACTTTTACGGTTTGTTGTTGATAAACCGTTTGACAGTGAATTAACCGTAAAATTACGGTTTCTCTATTTGTTTACACTAGACCCCAAATCGTTCTCCAGTACATGAAAAGGCACGTAAACGTGCACAAACCATCAAAAATACTGCATAGGACTACTGTATAGTATATAAGATTCCCATGTTATGAAAACTTGTTACATGATAGACGTACAAGAAATCTACATTTTACGAGGAGAGACAAACATTTACAGATTACAGCACGCACAAAGCTATGAATAGTGAGCCACGGCCCGCCCTTCCGCTCTCTTAACAATTTATTTCGAGTACCTTTTGCATAAAGTAAGATCGTTCGTTCGATTACACAAAATGTACATTAGCCTACTTTGCATACAGTTCTGGTGGGAGTTTCGGTGTTTTTGAATGTTCAAAATTAAGTGAATTACATCTTTTGTCGTCAATATATTTGCAAAAGGATTCAGTTGGTTACATTTCTAATAGTAATTGCTAGCTTATTTTGTGAATAATACAAAGTTAATTTGATTGCATAAAATGCACGAGTTCATAAACTTTAACGTTTATACTGTATTGAACCAAATTTCAGTCATAAGACAAAAACTTTCTGGATCAGACAAAACCATGTCTTAAAGAAATAACGTCTGAAACTTCAATAGGTGTTTAAAATGATTCCAAAACTATTCCAGAGTCCAATCATAACCGTGCGTTTATCATCACAGAAATATCAATATCAATCAAATAATCCACACTCATAGTTTGCCTGGATACAGACCCAAATATAGCAACCAATGCAAGACGAGAAGTCTCTCCGACAGTAAATACAGAGTCACTGGATATCAGAGACATTAGTTTTGATAAGAAAAACCAACAAATATATTTTAGTCCAATCTTTATTAAAGAGGCTACATATACCCGAAAAATGACGGAAATGTATCGAGCATTCCACAACCTCTTTAAACATTGAGTACACCTTTGTGCATGGAATTTCAAAAGATTTCCAACTTGGTTTCAAGGACATTATATGGCAGGGAGCCATTGAGGATGTTCATTTAAAGGTGATAGCTAAGACGTCGCTAAAGTAACAATTATAATCGGACTAAAGTGGCTCCTTCAGCACTTATTATTACCCATCCAGACTTCCACCGGTCGTAAACAGAGTGTTTAATACCGACGGAACACATATTTATTCCCATTCATAAATACCTTTTCGGTTAAAAAAAAATCTTTTCGGTCCAAAATTCAAAACAAGTCAAAAACTAGACATTGTCAACCATTTTGTTCGGCAATTTAACTTCATGTTTTACAAAACACCTCTCTGACTATAATATGGATTGCCCCTCCACAACTTGTTACCTTACAAGGACAGTGGCGTGCGCGTCGCGCGTACTGCGCGATGTCGCGCTAAACGCAGCTGGGCTGGTGTAGTGTGAATTTTGGACTATGAAATACTGATTCACTGGTAGTATTGCGCATGCATACGTGAGGAATGTGAACTTTCAACCAATGATACGTTAAAAGACGCCGCATTTCATGGGAGTCCAAATTTCATGTGACACTGGAAAAGTGTTGAAGACCAGCTAGCCATGTCTTTTTCATTCGTTCAAGACCGGCCACGTGACGGGCTCTCGACCAATATATAGTAATGCGTGAACTTTCTGAGGTATTTATTTTCATAATTTTAATATTAAATTTACCAAGACTGACATCACTTAAGTACTAGAAAAATCTACTTTCACGATTTGTTTAGAACTTCGGGTGAATGGTGTAAATCTATTACTGCTTTTTTAACAGGACAAAATATGGCGCTGTGGACTCTTGATCACCACTTTCGAGAGCATGAAAAAGATGTATCTGGTGCAGGTACACATCCGCAAATACAAGCACGTTTACATACTCACACCCAGACACGCAAGTAATGTATTTTTTTCTCTATGTGCACAAATCGGCAGCGTCTTCGCATGGGCGAAATACGTGTGTGATGCGTTCCACGGTCATTAGAGCAGTCAAAATGAACATTTACTTAAATTAGTTTAGTTTATTTAAGGAAATTGAATAGATATTTGAGATAGTAGTTTTTGTTATGCACAAATTCTCGAAGTTCACTCCATTTTAAACTTTGAATTCATCTTTTTGTACAGTTTGGTACTGCATTTCGAAAGATCTGCAGAACCGGATATAGGATATATTTCATTAACAAATTTGCACCAAAAAAGTACTGAAGTAAATCTACCGGGTCACAATCGAAATAAAAGTATACTCAGAAGTTAGGACTGCCGGAATATCCCTACATCACTCCCAGAACAGACATCGCCAACACAATGTAAAACAAGTTGTGTGGAAATGTGCGTTGAAATAAAACATTACAAAGGAATTAGTATGGTTAGTATAAACAAAAACATGGCTAGTCAACAATTTTGCAAAACGATTTTGAAATGAACGAGGTTGAAGATTTCCACAAACTGGCAGCATGCCAGACACTTCAATTTCTCGATGTCTACAACGGTTAGTTTAACCCCTAATCTATGTATACTGAACAAAATATTGAATAATTGACTCCATGCATTTACGAGAGATGTGATCACATTCGATCAACTGCCCAAGTGGGTCTGGGTGCTCTTGTGTGTGTGTGTGTGGGGGGGGGGGGGGGTAGACTGCATACAAGTACTGAGTGGCGCGCTCATGCCGTTAAGAGTATACCAGACTTATCAATTCCGAATGCGCATCAACCAGTAACTTCTCTGCGTTTAAAGGGGAACTAGGTCCTGAAATCCACGAAAAGTCGTGTTTTGGAATGTTTATTTATAAGGGAATAAATGTGTGCTCGAGAGGTTTTTATCACTCTGTTTAAGACCACTTAGAGTCTGGGTGCTGATAATTACCCGAGCCGGAGGCGAGGGTAATTATCAGCACCCAGACTCTAAGTGGTCTTAAACAGAGTGATAAATACCGACCGAGCACATATTTATTCCCATTCATAAATACCTTTTCGGTTAAAAAATATCAAATAATTCGTTCAAAAAATCCCAATTTTGTTCAACAAGTTCATTTCATGCTTTTTGAAACATCCCTCTGGCAAAATAATGGAGTGTTCAGCTGGCGAGTAAGATGTAAACAACCCTTTTATGGCGATTGACGCGCGCGTGGCATGGGGCGTTGCGTTTTGAATTTTGAACTGTAAAATTCTGACTCACTGGTAGTGTTGCGCATGCCTACGTGAGGATTGTGAACGTTCAACCAATGAAACGGTAAGAGGCACTGGATTTTTAGGAGTCCACATTTTATTGTGACACTGGAAAAGTGTTTAAGACCAGCTAGCCATGTCTTTATCATCCGTTTAAGACCGGCCACGTGACGGGCTCTCGACCAATAGGAATAGCTTAACTGTCTGAGGTATTTATGAATCCTATTTAAAACATGTGGTTGAAAGGAAACTAACCTAATGTCTTACCGTTCCCGAGAAAAGAGGAAAAATCTCCGGTTGTTTACATCGGACACGACTGAGTACGAATACGTTTTTCGTGTCGTTCTCATACAGTGTACAATATAAAAGGAATAACACAAAACGCCCAGTTTTTTAAGGATAGTTGTGTGGATGTTTATATCGTAGTTTTAAATATTCTTTGTTCCATATTGTTCCAGGACCTAGTGTCCCTTTAAGGCGCCGTCTGCAAAGCGTGTTGATCTTTTATGTTCCCATTGAAAGCACATCTATAAATCCATGTCTCAAACCGTAATGCCTTCTCTGACCATCACCACTCTGCGTTAGCGCATGGGCAATGCTGGTGTGCAGCTCTTGTATGCGTTGGGCCGAGAGACCGGATTCCAGCAACGCGAAGGTGTAAGTTGACCCACTTCTTGTTTTGATAGCTTCGATGGCCAGATCTAAATCCCCCTTCAAATAATCTGGAATTTTTGACATGTCAGGTTTTAGTAATCCTTCACATAAGCGATTGCATTCGTGATTTTGGAAGAACTTTACCACGCCGAACATTCCAAGATCGGTTGGGCCGTAGTAGCCGAACTTCTGCCCATGTTTCTCCATGCTATGGACGGCCGGATCGGTGAAGACGTAGTTTTTCCCGTTGTAAACTCCTTGTAAGTCGGTCACAAGGATCTCACCATTTGATTCAGCGTAAGTGAAGTGGGAGAAGGCTACCGGAACAAGGGTCTTCTCGTTTTTATTCACTTTAGCAGAATTGCTTATGAAGTGGACATACCGCCCCTGCAGGAAACGTTCAATCGCTACAGCTGCACCCTCTGGGACCATTTGGTTAGCTGTAGCGATTGAATCATCGTCGGGTCCGCGAACAGATTGAGCAACAGAGTCTCTTCCTAGGTACTTGTAGGTAGCAAATGTCTGGACTTTGGAGATTATGGGAATGAGAACCTCTATCTTTGCAAAGCCTTTATTGGTGAATGCATTGTTGAACAACATGGCCATCTCCGCCGCTTTTGCTGAGGCGCGATTGTCCGCTTTCCAAGCGTCTTCTTTCAATCTGTTACAATATTCCTCTTTATAGAGTTTCACAACGCACTGCTCACCGCGTTCGAACCACCACCTATTGACGTGCTTTATTCTTCCTCGGTAGGCGTATCTGGACTCTCCTTTGTCAAACCAGTCTTTTTCAAATTTTGCATAAACATCTTCACCTTTGAAGGTAAAGGGCTCAGATGTGTGGCTTTGTGCATTCCCCATTTTGAGCTCGACTCAATCACCTGAAACCAAATTGAGGCAAGATTAAGTAAAGCTTATCCCATAGCTTACTATTTTTCATGTTGTGATTATGTGTTTATTCAGCTTTTCTTGTTTTACTATTTTTATCTTTGACATTTTAATTCCTTGTATTGATATTTTCACACATTTTAACGTTACAATTACAATTTTTTTCTATATTTTAATATTATGACTATGGCTTATTTTTTAACTTGTAAAGCGCATTGAGCGTCTTTTTAGGCGAATTTTGGCGCTATGTAAATGTTCATCATCATCATCATCACCATCATCATCATCGTCATCATCAAATTATTATATTATTATTATTACATTTCATTGTGTTCATTTAGAATTGATACAGTCTTTTTATACATTTTTTAATACATCTTTTGTATACACCATGGAGCAGCGGGAGCTCACTACGCAGGGTATACACAACAGCTTCGCACGTATCTCTTCACCAGCCAACAATCAGGCCAAGTCACAAATGACAGTAGTCAGTCCACAACAGTCATGAGGAGTCATGTCGTGTAGGCCAAGCTAATATGATAATTTTTACTTACGAAATGTACGTGCGAATTACTTTGTACCTCCCAAGATCTCTCCGCGCCAACTTTCAAAACCAAACTCAGACACTTGCACCCTGCAACTAGTCGTGTACTATTCCACCGTCAGTTTGCCTGTGGATCTGTAATGCGGCAGTTGGGCGTTATAGGCTTCTAAAATATAGAGCTGACATCATGATCCCACGGGGATTCCCAAGCCAGTGTCCCGTCATAGAGGTTGTTTTATCACCGACGTTATGCTATAGGCATAGCAGGTTGACAGTGTAAACTCTAGACAGCGGGCCATTCCGGGGCTCTTGTCGTGGTCGTGTCATGCGCGCCTGTATTTCCCTGCAGAAGTAGCGCATGCGCACTTATTTTTTTCAGGGGGAGAATTTACAAGATTCATTTAGGCCTAAGACACTGTGGTCAGATTGTGGTTCGCTTGGCTGATAGTGGTTCGTTTTGATTACGCCCTCTTGGAGTGGGTATTCGAGTATCCCATATACAATTTTTAAAACAAGTGTACAAAGCTCAATACTAGCGTGCGCGCATTAATCCATGTGCGCTATATCATGCACCATGCGCCCTCCTGTGGGCTCTCGGCGCGAAGGCGTTTGTCTTTACACACTGGTTTGCTTTGGCCCTCAAACGTTCTAATTTAATATGGAAAAACTCTAATGTTTAGATTGAAATACATTAGGCCGTCAGCTGAAAATCCTAGGAGGCCTAGAAAATGACTTTCGACTTAATTTTTTTTAGGGAACTTGCAAACAGCTGATTTAAGATGATTCGAGGGTGCTGAATCCGAATCTGGATATTCCCGGTGCCATACTTGCACGTTTTCGCTGAAGATTCTCTTAAACAAACACTCCATCAATTTGCTGATATACTACATAATTAAGCTGGACAGTGGGCAAGACACAAAAATGCTTTCACATTCGTGACATTTATTTTAACCATGTTTTTATTTATATCTGCACTTGCATAGAAGTTATATCGAAGCCATCATTGAATTAAAGCTTCTTCTCTGTACATTTGTTTACATTTTAAGCTGTATTATATCTACCAGGCGATTTGACATACACACTATCTTAATAGCATTCAGACTTATTGCAGCTACGATATAAAAAAGGGAAATTATTTTTTCGGGCATCTTTAGTTTTAGTCATTTGGTATATAATTAAAGTTACCAGAAAATTAAAGGGGCGTTACTCCCAGAACGCATTTAACCTCAAATACAAAAAGCCTAAGGCCAATGGAAGTGAATAGGCATCAGTAATGATAGGATCAGTAATGATAGGAAGAGAACAGGGGACATGGGGTACTCCATATCCAACTATCATTCCTTCATTCCTATGACAAACTTCCCAGAAATGATAGCACCTTCAATATAAATGTAGGCCTACCGTTTAAAAAAAAGCTTATGACTGCATGACATCTGTTTTGGTAGTGGTTGACGCTGCCTTGGTATAGAGTACAAGAAAAAGAATATTTTTGATCAGAAAAATATGATGAAACGCTTGGCTTTGTAGCAGCAGTTAAACAATAAAAAGTGGGCGTGGGGGATTCTAACAAAATAATCATCAGTGACCCCCCCCCCCCGGAAATTTGCTGCCTATTTCATTGGCTGTTTTTGAGTGGTCCTAGTGGCCGCTAATACATTGTAGTTGTCGCCTCGAAGTGCCCCCCCCCCCAGAAAGACAGTTGAAAAATCTGGTCTACCTTGCAACACAGCCCTTGACACCCGCTGTTACCATCCAACCCCCAACCCCCGGTCCCTATGATGAGAATGCTGATCACGTCGCTGCGTTGTCAGGGGTAGTGATAAAATAATTGTTGGTGCAGTATCCCTTTTCCACCGACCCAATAATCACAGACATATTAAATTAGAATTAAATTTTTAAAATAATTACATTATTCTTTGAGCCATGGTCTGTGGTATCGCACCTCCATTGCTACAACTTCCCTCAGATGTCCTTCGGTAGCCTTTCATCTGCCAGGGTCACTGCAATTTCTTCAACAGACCACCTGTTAAGTCGTTAAGTTGCTATGAAAACAGTATGGCTAATCGATCTGCGCACGGACTGCGATCATCGTAATCACTGAATCAGCACTCCCTTGACAAATTGCATGAAGCAAGTGAGATCAGTGATTTATGGCGTATTTTGGTAAAATTCCTTGCATTAGGCCTACGTGCAACAGTTTGGTAAAGTGGCATTTTAACGTCACTTTTTGATTTTTTGTTTTGACGTAGGTTGACAATAACATGTCACGTTCCAGACTCGCAAAAAAAAACACTCGAAATATATCCGCACGCGACCATACGGGTACAATTAAACAGGCTCGTACAATTTCTCGCGCACATGACTCAGATGGGATAAGGCCATTTAATCGCAAAATTTTCTGATTAATTTAAACATTTTTGTCTGTTGTAGTTTACCTTGGGACATCCGAAAATGGTGCTCTTTAGATGCACAGCCGGTTGTTTTGCATTCCAGTTCAAAAAACTGTTATTTTTGCAGCTCATTTTTTGAAGAACAGATAAAATCATATTTTCGGACATAATTGCTCTCTCAAAAATTGTCCCTCTGTGACCTGTTTTTCGACGGGGGGGGGGGGAGGGAGGCCGCAGGGGGATGTCTTCCGTCCCCGCAGTAAGTACGGAGCAGTCAGTGTTACATTTTGCATCTCCTTAGAAACGTTTTGATTAAATTGTCTGTTTGATCATGACAAAGTATTTCACATCAAACTTGACATCAATTGCCAACCGAAATAACAAACGCTTTAACTTATATTTTAAATATCCATACCTTTGTTGGCTCCTAAATATGCCGTCACTTTGATGTAACTTTAATTTACACTGATCGTTTTGGGATTTTTAATTCAACACGTGTGCACTTAAAGTGCAGGCATCCATTATGTTGAAAGTTAGGTTACAATAGTAACAACTAATCATAATGCAACACTTTAAAAAAATAGCAGGCTTATAAAACATTGACGAAATCGCGTAAACTTATATTTCTCTGCCAACGATCACATGTCTGTGTTGGGTGTTTTTATCTTTCCAAAGTTACAATCTAATACAAATATAAACTTGTGTGCGTACAAAACAATCAGGTGACTGCAATATTACTGGTTGATAAACCAATATCTATCGGAGGCCAGATTTTGAAAGGTGAAAAAAACTTTTTTTCAGTTTTTGTTTAAGGTAAAATACAGTTTGCGGTTATACGATAAGCTGTATGTAATTAAAAAGATTTTGAGTACGTTGTTTATCATACCAAAGTTCATTATTAACTACAGATGCACCTAAAAATACCTGTGTACATAAAAAATAACGTGACTGCAATTATTGGGAGACATGGGCCTTTTTAAAGTAAAAATATAGGTTGTAGGGGAAATACAGTTTTTTTGGGTTATAAAATAATGTGTACGTCAAAACTACTCGGTGATTGGAGTTTGTTTATTAGTCCATTAGGGATAGTTTGTGGCTTACAGGGGCTCACATGAGGTTGGGAAAGGACTTTCCATCGTAAATACCAAAATACACCAAGCGAAAAACAATCGGTCGTAACGTTTGTCCACTGTAAACCAAACTTGGGCTTCCCTCCAATGAATGGGGTCGGGCTCTTTATTTTGTTATCGTAGAGAAATGGTTTTTAGCCATACAAAGAATAATCTCTACTTATTTGTTCTAATATTTTTTTGTTTATGGTAAGCAGATTTCATGGGATGGAGAAGAATGTTTTGAATGCGCATGCTTACATCCGGAGTAGTGTATACTGCGTATTTGACCTCGTTTTCCGGTGGAGGATCATGATCCTCATCGAGGATCATATCGGTAACCCCGACGAGGATCATAAAACGGGGCGTGTCTGTAGCGTAGTGACGTCATGGATCGATAGACAAATCGATCATAAGGTGGAGATTAGCGCTGAATGAGTATTATATTCGACGATAATGGAACAAAACGCGTTTAAGTGAATTATTGTATATATTTACTTTTATATTTTCTATGTAGGCCTATTTTGTAATTTGAAGCGTCAGTATAAACGAGAGAATAGAGTAACTCAATTCACGGAGGAAGGCAAAATCCGTGAATAGTTTTTCTGCATACGTTCTTGAAGCGAACATTTTTTTTGGTTTTTGTTTAATATAAATGTTTGTTTAATATAAACTGTAGTGCGGCCTGGTTCACTTGCTGGCCCCGTCCAGTTGCCGTTGCCTCCCAGTCACCGTAGCGGACCGCTCCCGCTTCGGTCTGACCGTCGATAACCCGTACCGTGCCGGTGCCCACTCAGTTCGTATTTGTTGATATGGTTTTTACATAGTACATGTACATACTTTGTAGACGCCAACCTGTTATCTCTATAACGCTACCAAAGACTACCAAAAGGAGAAACCCTATAGGTTAATGAAATCTAACAAAGTTAT